TCTTAATTTTGATTATTATCTGTCAATTTAGTATAACTTATAAGATACCACAAAAAAATCTAGATCCAAAAGAATTATTTAGTAAGTCACTGAGTTCCAGACCAGCTTGGGCTACCTAGTGATACTCTATGTCAAAACACAAGAAAAATAAAGAACTGTGTGGACAAGGGTTTCCAGACACTTTTCTCCTACTATACTGACCTGACCCACCAGCTGTGAGAACAGGAATGAGGAGCCAGAGGTTACAGCCCAGCAAGACACTTTCTGAATATGCCCAATACTAGAAGCTTCTTGAAACTAAAGGTGAAAAGATTTCAAATATACAGAGCCAGAAGTTACCTATGAAAAATATACACAAATCTTGGATTGGTAGAGTGGCTCAAGTAGTAGAGTGCCTGCCTAGCAAGTGTGAGCCCTGAGTCCAAACCCCAGTGCTGCCAAAAAAAATTATATATATATATCTATATATATATATATATCTATATATATAGAGAGAGAGAGAGATATATACAAATCTTGTAGCTCAAATATGGAGGAAATGTGACAGAGCTATTTGCAAATAGAATGACAATCTAAAAAACTTATATCCAGCACAAAAATGAGTTGTAAATCTAAAGGAAGATATCCCATACTATTGATGATACAAAACAAATTTTGACTATACCAGACTAAAGCAAAAATTATTCTCTCTTTAGAAAATGTTACAAAATTCTTATCACATAATGAAGTGATTAAAGGGCATATAGATAGAAATGTAAGAGAAAGGATTATAGAGGTAGTCACAAAGATAATTAGCATAAACATTAAGTTATTTTTCTATATTTTCATGATGGTTATGGTGCTGTCAAATTTTTAAATTCTGAAATTTGTTGAGATTTCTCTCTTCTTTCTTAATGAAATTTAATTTGTAGTCTAGTAATATAAACATAACTAGGAGTTACTTTTCTTAAAGAGACTCCCAATTTTTCAAAGTGTTAAGCCTTGCAAAACTGGATCAACCCTTGAATGCCAATTCAAGTTGAAAACTTTTTACTTACTGGAGACATGGGTATGCTTACTAAAGTTGACGTAAGAGACTGGAAGAACAACGGTGATATTCTCCCTGCACTACATTTTGCCAGCTTTATTTGCACATAGTTTTAAAAGACACAAATAAAATATATACTCATATGCAGGCATAACATGTATAAATATGTTATTCACAAATGCCAGTGCTCCTTTATAAACTATTTAGGTGAAGGATCTCACAAACTGTTATACAACACTCTCTCGTACATTTTTCTAAATGGAAGTTCCATGCATGTACTTACATATGTCTAAAAACAATTCTGCAATGAAAGTTCCATTAAAATTTCTTTGATGTATTATTTTCATGGTAATATTTAAGAAATTTCTTTTGCTTGTTATTTTGTTGCTGTGGTGGTTAATTTATAAGTAGTTTCTTTTTTCCCCATGGGCAGTGAAATTGACAGTAGAAACCCAAGAAAATGAAATGTGTCACAAAAAATAAATGAAATTTCAGTCATAAAGGCATATTGTGCAAAACTAAATAGAAACACATCCTTGAGATGAATATAACTCCTTAACGATGTTACTAAGGAGGATTTACTGTCATAAATGCTCATTATAGTCATCCTTTGAACTTAAATTTTTAATTAACTTTGAAATCCACAATGTAAATTTGAAATATGTTGCCTTTAGAAAACATGTGCCAGTTAAGGGACAGGAACAAGCAAAAATCTCATCAAAAGATTCTCTTTCAAGATAATTTGTTTAGAGACTCTAAGTCAATTTCAATAGATGATCATTAGTTTCAGGGGAAAAAAGTTTGAGTTGCAATAAAAATGTGAATATTTTGTTCTTTCCAATATATTTAAATGCACAATGAATGTGAAGACAGAAAAAGCACTAAATTATTTGTTCATGAAGTCCAATACATACAAAATGATTTCTATATTATAACTTCAAATTTAAAAGTTTTGCCCCATATTGTGCAGACAACATTTATAATAATGTAAAGCGAATGAAAAACTAAACAAAATAAAAGGTGTTATTTAAATAATATATACATACATATGTATATTAAAAACATATATCAAAGAGTGAGAATTTATGACAGTTCAAAATAAGGATTTACTAGTGTAGATACTAGTTTTCCAAAACTCTAAAATATTTATTATTAGACAAAATAATCTAGAACGTGCTTTGTAACAAATCCCTCATAAAAAACATAACTATATTTTGGCGGTACCTCATGGGAGTATAAGTTCCCACTTGATTTCATCTAAAACATTCAACTCAATAAAGCAGGAAACAAATATCTAGATTCTAGACACTGATTCATACACATGGCTCTTCACTGTCAATGAAAAAATGATTGTTTTACTACTAATTCATGAACACAAGAGAAGGAAGCACTTCTAAAAAGCAGCATTAATATACGTCCTGATTGTGACTGGCAGTGTTAATTACATGGGGGGTTTTATCCTGTCAGCAGTTTTAAGACAATTATCTTAAGGTCTAAAATCCAGAAATATGCTACACACACACACACACACACACACATACACACACACACACGTGTGCCCTTGGAAATGAGAAGAAATAGACTAATGAGCAGGAAAAGTATAGGAAGCAGAAGGAACACAGGGCTGAGTGTTATTCCAGTTTATCATCTTTCAGCAGTTCTTCCCGTAACTAGTTTTAGATTCTTAGTAAAGCCAAGTAGCATGTTAGGAGAGTGAAATAGATAATCAAGTATAATCTGCTCAAATTTATTTTTACATAGGCCTTAAAAACTTTGCGGAACTAATCTTAAATATTATCAAGTTTACATCTAAAATTGTTCTTCATTAGAACTGGTAAAAAATATTCAAATCTTGAAATGAGATAAAGTAGAAAGTAAATAGCATATTCTTTTGACATATACTGGAGGGTTATTTAAAAGGCTCTACAAGGATTATTCACTGGCCTATGGGATACACTTCTTCATGACTTAAAATTAAGGGCTCACACTTTGTGAGTTATGAGCTCCTTTACTGCCCCAAAGAAATAATAACCCCAAAGGTGAAGGTTCCGATGCTCTATTGAACAATGTTAACTGGTTTTTCTCTAATCAAAATGTCATTTCTGGTAGGATATGAAGATTATGTTCCTCTAATTTTCCCTTAAATACTCTTTGCTATCTTTCTGATTCCCTTATTAATGAGATAAATCATTTTGACATGTTTATCTCATATTTGTAGAAATATGATGTTTAAAACTTTTCCAAAATTATTTCTCAAAAGCTTTAGAGGTTCCATTGTGTGCCTCAGAGCATCAGCCAAGTCACCTGCTTAAATATTTTTGCTTAAATATTTCAAGTCAGAAATATTTAAGCAAAAATTTAAATAGAACTTAACCAAAGAACTTCTTCAATGATTCTTTTTCTCCTCCTCCTCCTCCTCCTCCCCCTCCCCCTCCCCCTCCCCCTCCCCTCCTCCTCTTCTTCTTCTTTTAAACTAAACTCTGTTGTTCCTGATTTTTGATCTACTTGTTTGGTTCTTGTTCTGGTTTGCATATGGCAAGTGAATTAGTATTCCTCATATCCTGGTAAGGAATCCTATTACCATTTGGTGATCTTTACTACTCTCCCATTGTCTCTTGGGCGAATGACAGAACTTGTACTTTGCAGGTCCTTGTACTGATCTGTTTGTGCAGGACACATTTCATACCCATGAAAATTGAACAAAAATGTTGGAGCCGAACCAGGCAGTTTTTGTGTTTGTGTACTCTTAACCCATGGGTAAGGCTGAAGAATTGAAGCTGAAAGTTCTCGTTGTTTCTGTGTTCATCAAATGCAAAACGGACTTCATCTATTATTATAAATGTAAAATGTTTTACAATATTAACAGTATATTAATAAATGATAATGTCAAAGTCACTTTTGTGATTGCATTACAGATTAACAACCACATTCATTCCAATTTTTAGAATTTTAAGTAAAGAAACTAAACATCCAAACTTTAAATGTGCTGGTATTTTAAGAAAAAATAGAATAATCCTTTTAAAACTAGAATTTTCAGAGATTTTTATGTAAAATATAAATCAAATACTAAATATTTGAATTACTAAATAAATATTTGAATTACTATGACTGCTTTGATAATATTGGTTTGAAAACACAATATATCTTTCTCTGGATTTATTAATGTTAAATAAAATCCTTGTTAAGTATATCCTTTATACTTTATTTTTCTTTTATGAAATTTGGTTTTGTGTCCTCATGAAGAGGACACAAATAATATGAACTTTTAAACTTCTTAGAAAGATCCATTGCTAACATTTCTCAAACATAATGCCTGGGATTGGGAAAAATATAAAATTATATTTTCAAGCAAAATGTTTCAACAGGCTTAGTCACAGAATAATATAAAGGAATCCCTGTAAGTCCTTTGTTACCATATAATACATTAATGCAAAATTAGAAAATTGTAATCACTATTAAAATGATAAATTGGTCTTTTCTGACCAGATTAATAAAAAGTTATTTTTCTTTTTACCTTCTGTGCAATAAAATCAGATAACAGGGATTTGGATTAGCAGAATAAATTTCTATGCTTTGAGTTTTCATTGGTATGTCCTTGGTTCTGAATGATCTGTAAATTCCCTAAAATTATGTTAGTTCTCCAATGTTTCTTTAGAAATTTGTATTCTTTTTTATTATTAAGTAAGCAAGTTACTGATTTGAGGGCACTTTACTTCTGTTTTAACTACCCAAATCTCCACCATAATTCTTTTGACGTTTTCTTTTCCAAGATCACATATTAAGTTTAGGGACAAAGAAAACTGTACTCAGAGCATCCCAGCATAGCCCAAATTGTACTGCTAACTGCAAGCTTTACTCTTAATGGAAATATATGAGAAACATTAAGGTTACTGAAAGGCAGGAAGTTTAAAAGGCTTAAGGTAATTTGATAAGTCAGTAAGGAGACATTTAAGAAAGCCAATGTTTAACTTACCCTCTTGTGTGGTGTCCGGGAGATTGTCATAGCCTAGAAAGATGCATCATGGTAAGAGTTGGGATATAAGATGGATACGCATTTCTTCTTACAAGTGGGTTATGAAAGTATTATGTGTAAGAGTTTAGTATTTGGAAATCCATTCCTTTAAAATTTTCCACGCAAACTACTGAGGGAGTTGACCCAAACTATATTTAAACCCGTGTTTGAAAGATCACTGATGGATTTCTAAAATTCCATTCTGAATATTCAAAGGTTTCTCCAGAGTCTAAGTCTTTGATGTGTGGGAAGGCACCCTAAAAGACCATCATAATAACATTACCTGCTGATACAGGTAAGCCTGCAGTTAAGGTTTGATGGTAAAAAAACAAAGCTCCATTTCCAGCCCATCAATTACCAAGATTGTTACTCGAGTCACTTATGAATTGTAATGAATTGTCGATCCACTGTAAGACTTAGAACATCATTGTTAAATTCAAAATATATAGACAAATCTTCTATTCTTTTTCTAAAATACCTTTAAGAATGGTTGAGCCTTCATAAGATAGGAGAAAAAGCACCACATTTTTCTGGACACTTAATATCACGTTTTTACAAATCAAAACTCCAGGGTTGTTGTTAATTGACTACTGAGTTATTTCATAACACAAAATTCTCACATAATACAAAAATTTGTTTTGGTTGCATTTTTTTCCCCTCATTTTTCTTTTCTTTCTTTTTTTTTTTTTTTTTTGTAGTACTGGGGCTTGAACTCAGGATGGGTATTTTTGAGATAGGGGCTCCTGGAACTATTTGTCAGGGCTTGTTCGAACCATGATCCTCCTGATCTCTGCCTCCTAAGTAGCTAGGATTATAAGCATGAGCCACTAGCATACAGCTCATTTTTCTATGAATCAAATAAAAAACACGCACCATTTCTACTAATGTCAACTCTTCCTCACAATACAAATTGTAATAAACAAACAATGAATAAAAAAGTATTAAGTAATACACAAATGGCATTAAATATCATTTGCATGAAAAACCATAATGGCTTACAAATGCAATTAAATTCACTAAAATCAATAACTGCCTGAAAACTGTTCAACAAAATTTTAGATGGCTAAGATCAGTGAGCAAAGCTGCTTATACTACAAGCAACAATATAACAGTGGTTGCCTTCAAAAATTGAGAAATTCTCTGTAAGTATGGCAGCTAAAGGAATCACAAGTTCAAAAAACTCTGCCAAAGGGTCATTTTTTGTCAGTTTATAGAAGTTGATCTTAAAGACAAAAATGAATGCGTAATATTTTTACAAACATCTACTTCATTTATCTATGCAATAAATGTTTCAATTTTAGCAGGAATTGAGTATCTAGAAAAATCTGGTAGGCATATTTTGGATTTAGTGAAATTAGACTAGTTTTTCTTCTTCTGTACATACGGTGTCTATGTAGTAAAAGTTCCTCACAAAACACAGAGAGCCTATGAGGGATAGTGTCATTGACTTAATGCTCTACAAATTAAATTTGAGTAAAATTTTAAGTGACTTCTCAACACAGATAGTAAGGATTTGTCTACATTATTATGAAGCCATGAAAACAGAACGTATATTCTACATCCAACAGCTCACTCAGGGCTCCACATGTTGGTTGAAGATGACAGTCATAAACACTGGTCATTGTAAGGCAGCACAGAATACATTTCCGCCTACAAAATGGTGATGGAAAAGGTAGTAGAAAAAGGAATAGGAATTGGTTCTATGGGTTAATTGAATGTTACTAAGATACGAATTCCTGAAAAGTATTGATTTTATTTTTAATTCCTTTGTAATGTGGGAGAATAGTTAGAATCGAACTTTCTGTAAGCAAAATGAATGCAACAACTGTTTCTGTTATGTTGTCTTCATATTTATTTCCAAAATGCTGTGCAAAATACAAGTTTGACAGATTCTTATTTATAATGTCATCTATCAAACTTGCTTTGCCCAATATTAAATGACATAACTAAATAAAGACAATGACTTTGAAAAATCCAATGCTAATTTTTAAAAATATGTAAGAAGATTCTAGGAGTTGTCCATTACAAATAGCTATTCACTTCATCTGAGTTTCATAAATTAATAAACAGTAACATCTGTGAAAGTCATTCATCCAACTAATGTTAGACAGCTATTATTTGCCACATGTTTTGCAATTTGTTCTTTGGCCCATTACTGTTTAATATAATATATTGGCTGGTTTTTTTCTTTAGTTTGTCTGCTATTTCTAGCTCAACTTTATGAACAGAAATTATTTTCTTTTTATGGATAAGGAATAAAATTCAAAACAGTTAAGTTGATTTTGAGATGAACTTCAGAGCCATGACTTTTTACTGAACAGGATGGGATAATAAAGCACTGAGAGGGAGAGCATTTGTTTTTTCATTCAGAAAATGGACTCGTGCTTGTCACAAATGAGTCACTGTACTAAGCCCTGAGTCCATAACACCTGCAGTCACTGTCCTCATGGAGCATATACTTCCTTTAGAGAACACGATCTATTAAGGTATCATTAGAAATGTTCTGTCTATAGATAAGAATTAAATGGAGAGAAAAGAGAAGTACAGGAAGATTATTGATGGAGCAGGAGCTCTGAGGAGGAAGGACAAGAGAAAAATGCCTAGTTGGAAGGAAGAACTATAAATTTGTGAACTATGCTAAAACATAGGTATCACACACATAATACAGAACAATAGACAGTACAAGTGCTCAGTTTCTCAAAGACGAATCAAGAACTGAAATATGCATTAGCCTGAGACTAATGAGGTTAGTTAGGCATAATAAACCTACCACATTGCCAGCAGCGTACTTGATTAATTCATAGCAATGGTATAACAGAAACAATGGTATCACAGCTTCATTATATAGCACTCTCTTTTTCTATATGATAGCCGTCAGCCATATATGGTTATTGGTGTATGAAAATTAGAAGTGTTTAAAGTAAACAAGATTTCATTTATTTGACTTATAGACATCACTAAAAAACAACTGTTGAGTGAATTTTGTACTTAAAAACTAATGATACTACTTGGCAGAATACATACAAAGAAATAATGTTGGTCAGGAGGCTATTTGCAAAGACTTTTCCCTGTGTACTCAAAGTAGAGCATGATCTTAGGGCAAACTAAGCTAAAATGAAAACATGCAAAATACCCAAGAACTTTCTGGGTCATTTAGTTTATATTGGTAATGTAATGGACTCAATTTGCATTTCATTTTCTATAAGTTGAAGATATTTTATCATTACACAACACAGACAAAATACATCTGTATTAATATCTGTCAGTATTCTAAATCTGCTTTCTTTTCTTTTGTGTTTATTCCAACACTATACTAATTGTATAATTTGGGCAAAGACAAAAAATATTAGAAAGAGAGTTAATTTTCACAGAAAGAGTGAGAGAAAGAGAGAGAGAGAGAAAAGCCTCTAAGTACCAGAAATACTTAAAAAATATAAAATCAAAATTAAAAGTCACAAATTCATGCCTTATGTAGAAGAAAGCAGTAAACAGGTGCTAAAGACAAAACATTAGTTCTAGTACATTAGAAAAGGAATTCCAAGATTTCCCTGATATTTGTTTTTACTAGCAATAAATTAGATAGTCACATAAGGATTAATTGCAAAACTGACCCTTGAAACACTGCCCAGTAGCCCAATTTTGAAAAATAACTCAAACTTGGTCTTCTACCAAATAATGTTTAGTAAAGGGAATCTGAACAGTTTAATCTGCAGGAGAAATATACTGGTTTGAGTTTTCCCTCTATAAATGTTTTTTCAGCTACCACCTCCTTCCAAATTGTATATATCATATGTTTCCTTTAAAAGGGTCTAGCATTCTTTGGAAACATACAAAAAATTGCTGTTCACACATAAGTTTTGTAAAGGATACTAGGATTTATAATAAAATCAATTTTTCATTATTCATCAGTTCAAGAATTTGATGAAGCCAGCACCAGTACTTCATGCTTGTAATCTTAGCTAGAGATCAGGAGGATCAGGGTTCAAGGCCAGCCTAGAAAAAATTTCATGAGACCTCATCTCAACAGAAAAAAGCTACGAGTGGTAGCATGTGCCTATCATCTCAGCTACAGTAGGAAGCTATAGAAGGACTGTGGTCTAGGCTAGCCTGAACAAAAAAGCAATACCCTATCTCCAAAATAACAACAGCAAAAGGGGCTGGAAGTGTGACTGGAAGAGTACCTGTCTCCCTAGCAGGAAGGCATAAATTCATACCACCAAAAGGAAAAAAACAAAAAGAATCTGATGAAGAGAAAGAAAGTGTCAATTATATAAGTGTCATAAACAGAGATTTTAATTCTTAGTTTTTCATTCTGACCTCACCCTTTTTATTAATTGGTACCTATCATTTAATCTTTATTTTCTTCTCTTTTAAAGGAATACGTGCTCCATAAAAGAATGACATCATTTAGGTAAGTACATCACCCTCTATTTTCAGATATGCAAAATTATATTTAATGTATGAGGTGAAATAATTTTTCGACAAATGTGTGTGAGGGTCTATTCACCATAAAAAATAATAATAATAATACTTAAGGATATTACTGTTCCTGATAATTTAATCAATAATACATTCAATTTTCCCAACATCTTTCATGCTGAGCTCCTACATAAAATTTTTTTAAAAAGAAAAATTAATAGGCAGGGTTAGAAAAAGCAGAATAAACAAACAGTTATAATCCCCCTTACAATTTTACTCAGTGTCTAATCCAATAATTGGTGATTTATAATAAATATGAGGTTATTGGTAAAGATTCCTTTTACCACCCAATTTTACCTTCACTTGAAAATGGTCTTGAAGAGAAAAGTCAACTTTAAAAAATGTAGGAGATAGTCACCTCCCCATACACTCAAGATAGGTGAGCATTAATAAAAAGAAGACATTCTGATATTTTATTTCAGCTGACATTACCTCCTTTGAGCTTAAAGGGTTCAGATAAAATGTTACCTCTATATAAAAGTCAAGTAGCTACTGTTGTCTATTCTCAAATTGTCAGAATCTGAGTAAGGCACCCAAACTTAGAGCCATCCTATTCCTTTACCAGGAAATGAGGACAACTTGGTTTCCAGTCATCTTAGATTTCAATGGATAGGTAAAACCGGAAAAGATAAAGGTGTAATCGATGACTCATTGATATGTCCCTACTGCAGCATTTTGAACTTGCCTGAAATTCTTCCTTGTTAACCTTCTCTCTGCTTTTAAAGTTAAGAAAAAACAATCATTGCAGAGAAAAGTAAATAAATAACTTACGTAGGCACCATAAAAACAGATATGCCTTTTCTGGCAAAGTAAAACTAGAGGCTAACTATTTACTAAACTTTAATAACTTGCAAATTGGGCAATTCAGGTGACAAAGTTGTTACACTGATCTTTTTTTTACATAACTGTATGACTAACAGATATCTTTGTGAATAGAAATTAGTTATAATAATACTTTATATGAATTGAGTACTTAGTATCACCAGACAAGGCATTAAAGTAACTTTTATACACAGTAAATTCCCCAAGCCTCTTAGGAGTCCCAGGATTACAACCAAGAAAGTGTGACACCACAATAATATGAACACACAACGTATTTTCATTTGAAAATGATAATAAAGCACTCAAAACATTCTGAATCTCTATTTCAATATTTTTGTGATACACTCATATGGTGTTTTCAACTTCACTGACCATTATCAATTGAGATAATATCCTTCTAATGGTGCTAGAAAGGCTAGGGGACGTCAATGCCAGTTAGCATGAGCTTCCAGCACCTGGTGAACCAGCACGTAGAAAGCATAGTTCTTTCGCATGCACAGGATGCCAATTACACAAAAAGAGACAACTAGCAGCAAGTTCAGGAAAATAAAGGCACTTTGTGCATAGAAGATATTTAAAAAAATTAAAACCTCACAGATGCATTAAGCAAGTATTTAGATACATCAGTGAAAGGCAGGACATCAGAATAAACTAATGTGGGCACTGCCTCTGTGGTTTCTATATTTCCCTCCCAATCTGGTGCAATTCCTGATTAAAAAAAAAACAAAACAAACCTCATGTTATTAGTTTTTGAGGACTTTTCAGTAAATATCATAAAGTAAATATATTCTGTCATTATGCTTTGAAAATCTGACTTTTAATGTTATAATACTTCATCATAAAGAATGTACCACATTTGACTGTTGTTAGACTTTTATTAATATGATATAAAACAGTCAGTCAACAACTCCATATTCAACACTGTATCAAGGATTTTGGAGTAGGTAAGGTGCAAGCAGACTGCTAGGTAAATTAGGCAAATAATGCAGGGAGTTAGTATAGAAAGAATACTTAACCAGCATAAGGGAAAAGCATGATTTATGTCTTGATGGAGTCAAGAGTATAAGTAGGGAGAACCATGCTTATCAAACATAGATACATGGGCATACCGATGTGAAACACACAATAACATCAAGGCAAAGGTAAAACACAGTCCATGTGTCAGGCATGTCAGTTGTGTGATAGAATATATATAGGGATTTGCATGTTCAAACAAACCAGTCTCTAAAGAAGCTTTCATTTATATATTTTATGAATTAGTGAAAATAACTAATAAAGTAAATGACATAGGTGTCTGAGAAATTTCAAGAAGAAAAAAATCATGTAATCAGAAAAAGTTAAGGAAAGTTTCTGAAGATATTAAAGTACCTACTTCTTAATTTACTATCAATATTATATAATCAAAGAGTTCTTATGACCAAAGAAGTCTGTAAGGAGAGCTACCTGGCTGAGTAGCCAACTCAAAGAACTTCCTGGTTAATGCTGAATATATTAGGTATGAACCTTTCAGCTTCTAGGTTCTCTGAAAGTGAGAGAGACTGAGAGCTGAGGAAAGAAGACAGAAAAGCCTTAGGAAAAAATATTCGTAAGATATAGGCAATTTAATATATTTCTGTGCAGAGTTTATAAATTCATAGCAAGGTGGTCTAAGACTTATGAAGTCTTGAATCTCAAGCTCCAAGGGATTTAAGAAGCCATCTTAGGAAAGAAAGTGAAGTATACTTTCCCTGTTAAGGACGGGATGAAGCTGAAGATGCCCTTTTAGAAAAACAGAGGAGACTGGTTACAAAGAATAAGAGTTTAGAATCAGATAACTAAGAAGGGTAGGAAAAAAATGAAGACTTGTTTGTGGAGAATATTTTAGGCAGTCAAATAAAGACCCTTAGAAAATAAAGAGTATCAAGACATCTGACAATGACTGGGAATTATTTCAGAAAGACTGGAGGAAATGAATGTGATAAACAAAGGATGTGGTCCAAGCTTGGGGCTTCGGAGTTCTTGCTCTTAAGGGAACATTCTTGTGAGGAATGATGAAATCCCAGGTATTGCGTGTCTGTGAACATCTAAGGAGAAAGGAGCTATAAGGATTACTGACTCAGAAGAGGTTGAGAAATTCTGAAGGAAAGATACTACAAGAGTCACCAAGAATGCAAAATAATCCACAGATTAGATAATCTGAGATAATGCATATTTGCAGCATTATATTTTATTTATTTATTCTTTAGAAATTACCTACAATTTTCCCAACATTTCTATAACAAGTTGACCTTATCTAGTCAGGAGATGTAATTATACATGAGTACAATTTTTATAATTCTTGCTAATAATTTAGCAAATATTTGACTAATGGAAATTATAAATCACAGAAGAAATGAAGGTTATGCTACCTCATGACAGTTTTTCAGGCATATTTCAGTGCACTTCTATTCTACAAATATTGATTGAGGGATGACTTCAATCAGACACTAAGCTTGGTATCAGAAATATTTGATAAGACATTGTCCTTGAATTAGAAGCATAGAATTGAAGACAGAGCTACATATAACTAATGAAATACAATGCTATTTTAGAACTATCAATAAGATACATGGGACAGACTGTTACCTAACCGTGGGTCCAATCAGAGAACACTTCCCATTGAACAAGAAGGACTGGGCTGAGTTCTAAAATAGGAACATGAGTCATAAAATCCATTCCAAACATAGGCACAGTGTGTGCATTATTTTGATATTCTTGGCCACACAAAAAGTGTCCAGAACCTTTGGTGTTAAACGAGTTGATCTCACTAGGCTGCAAAAGGTAGGAGATCAATGTCAGAAAATGAGGCTACAGAAAGAGTAGCCAGGATACAAAGGTATTTTGTATGTCATATAAATGATAAACAACGAAAAGTTTTAAGTGAGAATAATACAGAGATAGAACTGGAGACTATTATGTTAAATGAAATAAGCCAGGCAGAGAAAGACAAGTATGCTATGACATCACTCATATGTGGGATCTAAAAATATTGATCTCATACAAGTTGAGAGTAAAATGATGGCTACCAGAGGCTGGCAAAAGTAAGGTGGGGGTATAGGGAGAGGTTGATCAATGATTTACCATAAAGAAATGATAAATGTTTGAGGAGATAGATTTGTTTAACCTGACTGAAACATTACACTATGTGTAAAATACTAAAATACCACATTGTACCCCACTAATCCATACCATTCAATGTTTTAATATATCAGTTAAACATAAATATAAATTTTAAAAAGTAAATTCTAGCATGAAAAAACTTTTAGCAGCTTGTTCATGGATCAAAAAATAAAAGATTCACAGCATAATCTTGGGGTTATCTGCTATGCTGTCCACCATACTATCTGAATTTACCTTTCACATTCCCATTCTCCATGTATCAAAGTCAGTAGGAAAATTAGTTTGAACATTTGGAATGTTATGATAAAACCTATTTATAGTACCACAAATATACCTAACAGAACTTTCTGATCATGAACCATGACAAATATTATAGGTTCTACTTCCTACAACTGTTTTCTTTTTTTCCTTAAAAATATGTTTCCAAAAGACTACAAGATAAAAATAACTATTTTATGCATTCAAACTGTCAACAAAGAATGATGCTTACCTTATTAAAATAAAAGAATAAAGTTTTCCTACAAAGAACACACCTACTTCTTCCTCTTTAAACATCAAAAGTTGTTACAATCTCAAGTTGATATAAAAGTCACTTTCAATTTAAATTTCCTCTGAATGTGGTGTATTAGTCTGCTCAGGGTGTCAAAACAAAATACAATAGTTTGGGTGGTTTAAACAACAGAAAACACAAGTTTTAATAATTATTTAGGTAAAATGTAAATATTCTTAAAAATAGAAATATTCTAGAAGCTTTCCCTACTGCATTCCATTAAAAATGAATATTTTAGGTTTTAGAAGGTGAAGAAAAAAATGTTTTAAAGAAATCTAAAGTAAGAAAGCTATTCATACTTATCAGAGTCAGGCCTTTGACTTCTCTCCTTTGGATATCAGTTCAATTTAGTGTTTCATCTCTCCTTCAATATCGTTATTAAAAACTTGCAGAACGTTACGATCATAATAGCAGCTCAGGCTTGAAAATCTCACATTTCATTTTATGAATAATGAGCATATTGCCTACCACTGCACAAGTATAAAGAGAACCTCTATCATTTCATATCATTTGTTAAAACTGAATTCTAAAATAATATAATAAGATGATTGTTATTCAAAATCAGAAATTAATGAGCCAATGAATATAAAGCATTTAAGGTATCTTCTAATAAAATTACTCAAAAGTATGACTGGAGGTATAGTTCAAGTGGCAAACATCTGGTTTATAAGCATGAAGCCCTGATTTCAAACCCCAGTCCCCCTGCAAAATGAGAAATATCTGTAAAGTTACTCAAAAACATATAGTCATATGACATAGACAGAGGTATTTTGTATAATGTAATTCACTTAATCCTAAATTCATAATAAATATTTTTAAATGATCTTAGGTTGTCATAAAATAGCATCTCACAGCATTATAAAAGGTCATTTACCTAACTTAACAACTACTCACTCTCACCCGTCTTTTCTGTGTTCATATTTTATTTCCTTATTGTAATTAATATAAAAGCACAAGTTCATCTGGCTAATCTGCCATCTGTTCACTGAACCACCCCAACTAGTGTGGAGCCACTCAGTCCCTAACTTCTATTATGTTTCTAGCCTTAGAGAGTGCTTCTGAACACAGCTGAAGTTTCTTCCCTTTTCACTGGTGATACATAGATGCCTTTTCAATATTTTGAACATTTAAAAAATATTAGCACAAACTTAGAGATTAGAATTTTACATTTAGAGGACTCTCCCTTTAGACTCCATTTAAAAAACACAAAAGTCAGTTTGTTTTGACAAAAAAGTTTCCACATCACATCATAGATCACAAATCAAATGCTGTTCCAGAGCAACAGAGGGAGCTCACACATGTTGAATTCTCCCTGTGTCTCCTCCCTCTAGTTAGATAAAGGAAGGTTGCACTGAATTTTCTATTTGTTGACTTCCCATTCCCCAGAAGAGTCAGATATCGTTTTAAACATAGAACTTAACTTCAAGTATTTCTGTACTTTCAGCAATGTCTTTTACCCGTAATTTAGCTTTCCTTTTTATAAAACTTATCTAAGAAATGCCTTTGGAAAAAGTTCATTGCTATGAGTTATTCTGTTTACTATACTGTGTTAAATAAAAGGTGTTCTTGGAATTATATATGTAAATGTTTGAAGTTGAGAATCAAACCTTGTTAAACACAGGCAGTCAAAATTTCAAAATCAACTCTTGCTTACAGAAGGCTGTACAGAAATCCCATTAACAACCACAAAAACCTAATAATGTTAAGAAGCTCAGTCATATATACAAAGCCATCAGAGAGTAAGATGGCCAGAAAATCTTTAACTGTGTCTATGTAGGTTGACTATGCAAAGAGGGCTTAAATGCCATGGTTATTTATTACTAAAATCAAATCTTCTGATCATATTTTGGGGCTCCAAATTACTTTTCTATGAAATAGATATGTCCTAAGACTCCAAAACAAATTTTTAACATATGAGAAAATACTATGTAAGACATTAAAATGTAATCAGAAAATTCAACTGCTTAAAATTTTTAGTTTTATTTTTATTTATTTATTTATTTATTTTCAACAAAAAGTACAAGCTTTGTTGAAACTTGAACTAATAGGTAACTGAGCTGGACTTTGAGTAACTTAGAAACTGGACAACCATCCTTGCTTCTAATTTGCTCAGGGTTTAATCTCAGTCACACTGTACAAAGCTAACACTTATTCTCTAGTGTTCTGCTAATTGCTTGGTGCTATGTTGACTACTGGGAATGAACCACAAGATACATCTCTGTAAACTGCAGGGAGTGCTTCAGTGATCAGGAGGTTAAAAACTCCCCATCAGCAGAAAGGGAGAATTCTTTACTTAATTCAGTGGTACAAATTATTTCCAGGTGGTGATAATTATCACTTGCGGTGTTTGATATTCTGGACTTTGCATCTAAATTTATACTTGACAAGTTAAACTTTTCATCGTGTGCATTTTCCCGTAATCTCTCAAAGGCCAAAGACAAGGATAGACGGATTAGTGATGGGTGAAACCAATTCCACCCAAAATGGCAACACTTAATTATAAGCCTTGTTGTTTATAATTAACTGTGTAAATCACTAACTCGAAAGTTTCTTTTCAAAGTATTTAAAACCAACTCTTTTCCCAGGGGGATTTAATACTGTATGTTATTACATAGTTAAGTATTATTTTGTTTGCTCCATGAACAAGATGTGCAAATGACAGATTTTACTGACTGTCATGCCAGCAAATTTGGAAAATGTTCATGAATGATAGTACTGTTCTGTAGTTCTCAGCATTGTAGGCCATTTTTGTCACATATATGTACATATCTCCATATATACAGGTATACATGCATGTACAGCCAAAAGATAGTGTCATTATCTAAATGACTATAAAGAAACAATTCCTGAGAAGAAAGAAATGTCAATTTCTCAATTTAGAGAATAAAAAAGTGAGCTTGCAAATACATCTTTTGAGATATATTCATTTTTTGTGAGCAATATTGAGAATTAAAAACATTTACTGAGAACATATGCGCTAGATACCAAATCCTAAGTATCCTAACTTAGTATTTTTATTTGTAGTATTAAAAACATACTGAAAGGCCAGAATAATAATGCGGTTTCATAAATGATTGACTTGAGGTCAGAAAAATATAAATGATCTGTTCATGGCTTCTCAGCCACAGAGAGGTAGTAGAGCTATAGTTCGAACTCCGTTCTAAATTTAAACTTTGGCACCTTTGAACAATCTTGCTAACACAACATCACACACATGAATAAATTATTTATTTACTATGCATGTCTACATCAAAGAAAAGCATAAAGAAAAGAAAATACGGATGCAGATATAATAAATTTGAGATGCCTAAAAATATCCCATCAAATTAAAACCTAGTCAAACAAAAATAAGAGTGTATAGCAATTCTCACTGCTACTCATTACTGCACTAAGATAATATTTCCTGAGAGCCTACACTGTCAAGAATACTAGAAATGTGAAGAGTAAGAAACAAATAGCCCTTTGCTAGTCTAGTGCAGATCTGTTTATGAAGTGATGACTATACCACAGGATGATAGGTTCATGACAAAGGTAGTGACAAGGGTTACAAAGAAAGGTTACCAGTTCATGGTGAATTTCATTCTAATTTCTAATCTAAAAAAATATCTGGACTCTTTGCTACCACTCTGAAGTCATTATATCTGGTCTGATCCTCTTCCCTGTTCCTGATTTTCCTAGTTAATTCCTCCCATCTCAAGAACACACCACCTAGCATCTGAACGTCTGCACTTAAGAACCATGTTTATCATTCTTCAAAGTCTGCACAGAGTACTTTTCTGTTGAATGACAGTTGGGTATCATTTGACCAGAGAAATTTTCAAACTCCACACACCACATCTTGAGTGCTGTGTGTCCTGCAACCCTCGAAATTTAGACCTTAAAATCTAATTTTAATTCTTTTGGGTAACAAAATCCATCATGAAAGAAATCCTAACATGTTTTTGTACAAAAACAGCAGAATTTATACCCTAAAAAAGCATGAAAACTTTACATGAGTGTTAGAGTCAAATTGGAAAACTAGTGGGAAAATATGACTAACAAAAATGTAATGAACCATTGGTAAATATCAAGGGATATATTATGGATCAATAATTCCATAATAGAAAGTAAACTCAAAACAGCTAATTGATGACTGGTGGTTCTATGTGCCTCCTGTAAATAATTCCAATAAAATGGAACAAGTCTGGCAACAAAGAATTTACTTAGGATATTCCATTCTCAAAAAAAAGAGCTCCTTGAAGGAGAACAAAAGATCTCCATAAGCACTCATGATCTTCTATCAATGTAGCACCTGCCTCACCAGTTTCCTCATCAGTAGTCAGTTACCTAAAATGTCATTTTAAGTGAAGAATCATGAAAAATGACACAAATAGTAGCATTTTATTCATGTATCATATTAATTTATATATTAAACTTAATTATCAATTCCATAAAAGCATATAAAATATATTTCTTCCAATCTCTGAATTACATACCAAGTTGTCTTTTTCACATCGACCCATATATGGATCCTGTGAAATTTCCAAATACTTGTGATATTTTCCCAAATCTTTTACAGATAATCTCAATCATGCTTTGTTTGATACTTCAAGTGAAGCAGTTTTGCTAAATCTTTCTGAAGCATTCACTTTTGTTGTTACTGAAGAACTTTGTTTTCATTCTCAGATATGTTTATACAGTATTTAATTTAGTAATATACAGTTATGACTCAAATGCCATGATAAATTTAAAACAATCTTCACCAACTCTTGAAACCTAGGTAGACAAACAAGTCAATTAATAAGAACATGTGAGTGTGTGTGTGTGTGTTTACATAAGACAATAAAGCCTACTGTCTGAAGGCATTCAGCATGCTGTGGACATTAGATGTAAATTATACACAGTATCCAGAGAGCACTAGATAAATGGAGATGATTGAAGATGGGTTTGCTATACTTTTTTAATATCTATCTTTCTTTATCATCACAGTTTAAAACTTTCAGCTGT